AACTGACTTCATATTAGTTAAACCAAACCATACCACGGGCGGGGTTAGAACCCGCGATCAGAGACTCATAAAACTCCAGACCGACGCGTTAGCCACTGGGCCAGCTGGCTACAATAATATTTATCCAATTAGGTATATTTATGCTCCATAGGAAGGTTAGCATAGGCACCACTTTGACCAGAAAAGCCACGGCCACGGTAGCGGGAGATTAGTCTGTAAAAAAACTTACATTTGTCACAGTGGTGCCTATGCTAACCTTCTTATGGTGTAGAAATATACCTAGTTGGATGAACATTATTGTAGCTAGCTGGCCCAGTGGCTAACACGTCCGTCTGGAGTTTTATGACTGATCGCGGGTTCTAACCCCACCCGTACTCGCCTAATTGTGGTTGCAGGGGTCGAGACTCAGCTCCTGGCCCCGCCTCTTCACTGAGTGCTACTAGGTCCTCTCTTTCTCCTTGCTCCATGAGCTTTATCCTACCTCATCTTAAAGCTAAGGTTTGTTTGCAATCGTATCATTACGATTTCGTGAGTCATTAAATTGTTTTATAATGAGGAAGGCCCAAAGTTAATTATTATGTTGGGCAGGAGGCGGATGGGACGGAAGGGAAGGAGGAAGGGAAGGAGGAAGGAAAGAAGGAAGGAGAGAGGAAGGTAGGAAATGAAGGAAGATGTGTGTCATGGAATGAGGAGACTAGAATAACAGATGAGGAAAGAAATAAGGTGGGGAGAAATGGGAGGGCGGGGGATAGGTGAAAATATTGGATGGGTAAAGTGCAATGGGAAAGGAGGGGGGAGAGAGGAAGGGGGCGAGGAAGAGGAGGGAGGTAGGGGATGGGAGGGAGAGGGGAGGAAGGGGTCATGCGACGACGCAAGGAGGGAAAGGGTAAACGCGAAAGAGGAACAGAGGGGTATGTAATGTCGATCACATAAGGGATACCTTTGTGGCTGTTGCTGTGTTTAAAAGAATTGTTTTGTGTTTATTTAACTAGCCTGGATACACCAAAAGTGTGTTGCTACACTATTCTTTATGATAGTTACATTGTGGGAACACCAGCAGTGTGTTGCTACTCTATACTATATGATAGTTACATTGTGGGAACACCAGCAGTGTGTTGCTACACTATTCTATTTGATAGTAACATTGTGGGAACACCAGCAGTGTGTTGCTACACTATTCTATATGATAGTTACATTGTGGGAACACCAGCAGTGTGTTGCTACACTATTCTATTTGATAGTAACATTGTGGGAACACCAGCAGTGTGTTGCTACACTATTCTATATGATAGTTACATTGTGGAACACCAGCAGTGTGTTGCTACACTATTCTATTTGATAGTAACATTGTGGGAACACCAGCAGTGTGTTGCTACACTATTCTATATGATAGTTACATTGTGGGAACACCAGCAGTGTGTTGCTACACTATTCTATTTGATAGTAACATTGTGGGAACACCAGCAGTGTGTTGCTACACTATTCTATATGATAGTAACATTGTGGGAACACCAGCAGTGTGTTGCTACACTATTCTATTTGATAGTTACATTGTGGAACACCAGCAGTGTGTTGCTACACTATTCTATATGATAGTAACATTGTGGGAACACCAGCAGTGTGTTGCTACACTATTCTATTTGATAGTAACATTGTGGGAACACCAGCAGTGTGTTGCTACACTATTCTATTTGATAGTAACATTGTGGGAACACCAGCAGTGTGTTGCTACACTATTCTATATGATAGTTACATTGTGGGAACACCAGCAGTGTGTTGCTACACTATTCTATTTGATAGTTACATTGTGGGAACACCAGCAGTGTGTTGCTACACTATTCTATATGATAGTAACATTGTGGGAACACCAGCAGTGTGTTGCTACACTATTCTATTTGATAGTACATTGTGGGAACACCAGCAGTGTGTTGCTACACTATTCTATTTGATAGTAACATTGTGGGAACACCAGCAGTGTGTTGCTACACTATTCTATTTGATAGTAACATTGTGGGAACACCAGCAGTGTGTTGCTACACTATTCTATTTGATAGTAACATTGTGGGAACACCAGCAGTGTGTTGCTACACTATTCTATATGATAGTTACATTGTGGGAACACCAGCAGTGTGTTGCTACACTATTCTATTTGATAGTAACATTGTGGGAACACCAGCAGTGTGTTGCTACACTATTCTATATGATAGTTAGATTGTGAGAACAGCAGTGTTGCTACACTATTTAATTTGATAGTAACATTGTGGGAACAAAGCAAAAAGTTTTTTTTTTAGTTTTTCCTTCTCACTATATCACTCCTTCCCTATTCATTGTTACACTATCACTAACCTATCCGATTCTGTGACTTACAATAAATGGATTAATTCCTTAGTGAGATATAAGTAGACTGATAAACTTGGAGGAAGAGAAGGAGGAGGAGGAGAAGCTGCCTGGGAGATGAAGAGGGAGATGGGGAAACAACTCACTAAAAAATGAAACACAAAGAATGCAAAGATAAAGAAAACAAGAAACAAAGGAGAAAATGATAGTATTAAATTAATTATAATGTGGATGAATAAAAAAGTAAATGAAATAATGAAATAATTATTTTTATGCAACCGAGAAAAACCGTAAAACCGAGGGAAACGTTTGATTGTAAAGCCGAGCGAAACGTTTGGGTGGGGAGGTTTACACTCAACACCTTCACGGTAGAAATGAAAATCGGAAAAAAAAACTATACAAATGAATATATATGAATAACATTTATAACAAACGGCTTTATGTTTCAGATGGAGAAATATTAAAGCCGAACAGAAAAAATCGCCTGTGTGATATTTTCAATTTTTTGACAAAGTCGATGAAGAAGCTGACAATAAAATATATATAACGAATTTACGTATCGCGCTCTTTTGATTTACCAAAATTCGAAAAATTCCGGTTTTGTGATTTTTTTTTCTTATTTTTGTAAAGATTATTCAGATAACTATTGGAAACACAAAATTTTGGAGGGAATTATTAAAATATGACATCAGAGATGAGTTGTGTAAAATGAAAGTCACAATACCATGGCTGCAACAATTCACAACCCAAAATACCGTGGCTGCAACAATTCACAACCCAAAATACCGTGGCTGCAACAATTCACAACCCAAATACCGTGGCTGCAACATTCACAACCAATACCGTGACTGCAACAATTCACACCCAAAATACCGTGACTGCAACAATTCACAACCCAAAATACCGTGACTGCAACAATTCACAACCCAAAATACCGTGACTGCAACAATTCACAACCCAAAATACCGTGCCTGCAACAATTCACAACCCAAAATACCGTGCCTGCAACAATTCACAACCCAAAATACCGTGACTGCAACAATTCACAACCCAAAATACCGTGACTACAACAATTCACAACCCAAAATACCGTGACTGCAACAATTCACAACCCAAAATACCGTGACTGCAACAATTCACAACCCAAAATACCGTGACTGCAACAATTCACAACCCAAAATACCGTGACTGCAACAATTCACAACCCAAAATACCGTGACTGCAACAATTCACAACCCAAAATACCGTGACTGCAACAATTCACAGCCCACAAAACTGAGAATGCAACAATTCACAACCCAAAATACCGTGACTGCAACAATTCACAACCCAAAATACCGTGACTGCAACAATTCACAACCCAAAATACCGTGACTGCAACAATTCAAACCCAAAATACCGTTTACTGCAACAATTCACAGCCCAAATACGTGACTGCAAACAATTCACAACCCAAAATACCGTGACTGCAACAATTCACAACCCAAAATACCGTGACTGCAACAATTCACAACCCAAAATACCGTGACTGCAACAATTCACAACCCAAAATACCGTGACTGCAACAATTCACAACCCAAAATACCGTGACTGCAACAATTCACAGCCCACAATACCGTGACTGCAACAATTCACAGCCCACAATACCGTGACTGCAACAATTCACAACCTAAAATACCGTGACTGCAACAATTCACAGCCCACAATACTGTGACTGCAACAATTCACAACCCAAAATACCGTTACTGCAACAATTCACAGCCCACAATACCGTGACTGCAACAATTCACAACCCAAAATACCGTGACTGCAACAATTCACAGCCCACAATACTGTGACTGCAACAATTCACAGCCCACAATACTGTGACTGCAACAATTCACAGCCCACAATACTGTGACTGCAACAATTCACAACCCAAAATACCGTGACTGCAACAATTCACAGCCCACAATACCGTGACTGCAACAATTCACAACCCAAAATACCGTGACTGCAACAATTCACAGCCCACAATACTGTGACTGCAACAATTCACGACCCACAATACCATGACCAACAATTCACGACCCACAATACCGTGACTGCAACAATTCACAGCCATCAATACCGTGATTGCAACAATTCACAGCCATCAATACCGTGATTGCAACAATTCACAACCAACTTACAAACTGGAATTAAAAACTAGACGACACTTCGGTCCTTCCTAAACCATTATCAGGTAGTTATTTAATAAAATAATTTATCAAGAGTTACAACGACACATGTCTACTCCGTCCGTAATTCGTACGTAATGAGCACAGGATTACCAACTAATTTACTGTGAGGTTCGTTTCCCTCTACAAGACGTGTAAATTTGATTTTTCATAATTGTTGGCGTAGAGATACGTAAATTTAGGATAATTTTTGTTAAAGCAAAAAACGTAAATCACTGACGTTTAATGTTAAAAAATGTTTATATTGTTACTTTGTAAGCTATTCTGTTCAGAAATCGACGTACTTTACGTACGTCGATTTCTGAACGACTTAAGTAGCCAACATTACAATGTAATGCAAGACATTAACTAAGATATATTTGCTCCATTTTAGGTTAAATAAATAATTTCTCCACTTATTTGTTGTAAGTAAAGAGAGCAATGGAAGACCAAGAGTGCACTAACCAGGAGGGCAGTGAAGCCAGCAGGAACAGCCTTGCTGATCAGCACCGGGAAGCCTGCTCCCAGACCGAGCCGCGGGGCTCAGGAGCTGTAGCTCAGTACTCGCAGATACCTAGGGATATAGATACAAAATACTTATCATACGCTAAGTATACACTGTGTCTAAAATATTTTGAAATCTGCGAATATATTTTCTAAGATATCTACCATAAATCTACTAAAATATCTACCAGAAATCTACTAAGATATCTACCAGAAATCTAAGATATCTACCAGAAATCTACTAGGATATCTACCAGAAATCTACTAAAATATCTACCAGAAATCTACTAAGATATCTACCAGAAACCTACTAAGATACCTACCAGAAATCTACTAAGATATCTACCAGAAATCTACTAAGATATCTACCAGAAATCTACTAAGATACCTACCAGAAATCTACTAGGATATCTACCAGAAATCTACTAAAATATCTACCAGAAATCTACTAAGATATCTACCAGAAACCTACTAAGATACCTACCAGAAATCTACTAAGATATCTACCAGAAATCTACTAAGATATCTACCAGAAATCTACTAAGATACCTACCAGAAATCTACTAAGATATCTACCAGAAATCTACTAAGATATCTACCAGAAATCTACTAAGATATCTACCAAAAATCTACTAAGATACCTACCAAAAATCTACTAAGATACCTACCAAAAATCTACTAAGGTACCTACCAAAAATCTACTAAGATATCTACCAGAAATCTACTAGATATCTACCAGAAAATCAATAGGATATCTACAAGAAATCTAGAATATCTACTATCTACCAGAAATATCTACCAGATATCTACCAGAAATCTACTAAAAGAGCTACTAGAAATCTAAAATATCTGCTAGAAATCTACTGAGATATCTTTCGAATAATTTGCAGTTTTTGAAGTAAAAATCGAAAATTTGAAAATTAAAACTTTAATGATGATAATGTTATCACAGTTATCTGGAAGCGGCAAACCCGCTGGGGAAATTTGAAGTAATGAGGTGTGTTCCGAGGAGAAGGGTAGCTGTAATTCCTTGGATCAAGAGCCCTTCACCTGTATCAAGGTATCTTCCTTGAAGGGGTTAAATAATTTGACTATGTAAATCAATCCGTCTGAAAAGTATCATTATATTAACTTTAAGATATACTTACATCTGTTTACATTTTTTTACATTTAAAATTTCTGCATTTACAGTTTTTATTACCTCTATTTACATTTTCGTGTATCTAATTACTTATACATTTACGCTTTTTACATTTGCATTTTTACACTCAATTTTAATATCTTTAGATTATTTTACATCTATTTACAGCAATTTTTATTTTTACATAAGCAGTATTTGAAATTTTTTTTTTTTTTTGGTTTACATCTGAATCTCAGAAGTCAACAATGCTGCTTCAGATTTTTTTTTTCATTTCTCTTCGTCTCGTGTCATATATTTTTGTCCATATATTTTTTAGCCGGCTTGAAGTTCATTTAGTTAAGTTCTCATTTTTGGAGAGATCATTCCATTATGTTTTTTTTTGTGGGTGTGAGTAGGGTTTCCGAGGGTGTGAGTAGGCTTTTCGAGGGTGTGAGTAGGCTTTTCGAGGGTGTGAGTAGGCTTTTCGAGGGTGTGAGTAGGCTTTTCGAGGATGTGAGTAGGCTTTTCGAGGGTGTGAGTAGGCTTTTCGAGGGTGTGAGTAGGCTTTTCGAGGGTGTGAGTAAGGTTTTCGAGGGTGTGAGTAGGGTTTTCGAGGGTGTGAGTAGGCTTAAACCACGTGAATCTTTCTAAACCATCAAAATCTTTTTAAACCACCAAAATCTTTCTAAACCACCTAAATCTCTCTAAACCACCTAAATCTCAGTCTTCCCTCTCAACTACGTATCTTTGTCTGAACTCTCTCTAAACCACTTGTCTCTTTGTAAACCACGAATACCTGAACCACGTCTTTGTCTAAGCATCTCTTCCTAGACACCAGCTTCTAAACCACGCGTCACCTAAACCACTCGTATTTTTTTAAATGTTGAGAACATAAAATACGATAGAACGAGCACTGCACCAGGCCTACTGGCCTACGTAGCGTCTATTCCTAAACCTGCTTTTTCCTAAAAAAAATTCCTAAAACCAGCGTTCTCTTTAAACCTTCGTCTTCATAAACCTGTTTTGTTTACGTCTAAGCCGGCACGGTAATACTTGGGTTATCTGCAGTGTCGGCAGCGGGAATCAAGTGCTTGAAGAAAAACCAAACTCGGGCATTGTTCTAATTCCCGGGCAGCAAGCAAGGCACGTTCCCGCTGCCCGACTTCAATATCTCACCCGCGAGGCCCATTCATCCAATTTGCATTTTCCTCGTGTGTGTGTGTGTGTGTGTGTGTGTGTGTGTGTGTGTGTATGTGTGTTGTACTCATCTAGTTGTGGTTACAGGGGTCGATTCACAGCTACTGGTCCCGTTTCCTCACTGGTCGCTATTAGGTCACTCTTCCTGCTCCATGAGCTTTATCATACTTGTGTGTGTGTGTGTGTGCGTGTGTGTGTGTGTGTGGGGTGTGTGTTGTGTGTGTGTGTGTGTGTGTGGTGTGTGTGTGTGTGTGTGTGTGTGTTGATCTGTTTCCTTGGAGGTTTTTAGCACTTTCTCCTTCCATTACCGCCATAGAATGGGAGAGAGGACATCGGAGGGAAAAAAAGGAGGGGACAGAGGAGGGGAAAGGGGAGGGGACAGGGAAGGGAAAAGGTGTGAGGGGGGAGAGGAGATAAGATGGGAGAAGGGAGGGGATGGAGAGGGATGGGAAAGGGGAGGGGAGATGGGAGAGGGGAGAGGAGAGGGGTGGAAGAGGGGAGAGGAGAGGGGATGGGAGATGGGGATGGGAGAGGGGAGAGGAAAGGGGACGGGAGAGGGGATAAGAGAGGGGGATAATAAGCAGTTGTAATGGAAGAAAGAATAATTTGGTTTCGATAACACTGATGGATTAAAACCACCTGGGAGTGCACGAGTGCACGCGAGCTGGGAGTGCAAGAGTGCACGCGAGCTGGGAGTGCAAGAGTGCACGCGAGCTGGGAGTGCAAAAGTGCACGCGAGCTGGGAGTGCAAGAGTGCACGCGAGCTGGGAGTGCAAGAGTGCACGCGAGCTGGGAGTGCACGAGTGCACGCGAGCTGGGAGTGCAAGAGTGCACGCGAGCTGGGAGTGCAAGAGTGCACGCGAGCTGGGAGTGCAAGAGTGCACGCGAGTGGGAGTGCAACGAGTGCACGCGAGCTGGGAGTGCACGAGTGCACGCGAGCTGGGAGTGCAAGAGTGCACGCGAGCTGGGAGTGCAAGAGTGCACGCGAGCTGGGAGTGCAGGATGTGCACGCGAGCTGGGAGGGGCAAAAGTGCACGCGAGCTGGGAGTGCAAGAGTGCACGCGAGCTGGGAGTGCAATAGTGCACGCGAGCTGGGAGTGCACGAGTGCACGCGAGCTGGGAGTGCAAGAGTGCACGCGAGCTGGGAGTGCAAGAGTGCACGCGAGCTGGGAGTGCAAGAGTGCACGCGAGCTGGGAGTGCAAGAGTGCACGCGAGCTGGGAGTGCAAGAGTGCACGCGAGCTGGGAGTGCAAAAGTGCACGCGAGCTGGGAGTGCACGCGAGCTGGGAGTGCAAGAGTGCACGTGAGCTGGGAGTGCAAGAGTGCACGCGAGCTGGGAGTGCAAGAGTGCACGCGAGCTGGGAGTGCAAGAGTGCACGCGAGCTGGGAGTGCAAGAGTGCACGCGAGCTGGGAGTGCAAGAGTGCACGCGAGCTGGGAGTGCAAGAGTGCACGCGAGCTGGGAGTGCAAGAGTGCACGCGAGCTGGGAGTGCAAGAGTGCACGCGAGCTGGGAGTGCAAGAGTGCACGCGAGCTGGGAGTGCAAGAGTGCACGCGAGCTGGGAGTGCAAAAGTGCACGCGAGCTGGGAGTGCAAGAGTGCACGCGAGCTGGGAGTGCAAAGTGCACGCGAGCTGGGAGTGCACGCGAGCTGGGAGTGCAAGAGTGCACGCGAGCTGGGAGTGCAAGAGTGCACGCGAGCTGGGAGTGCAAGAGTGCACGCGAGCTGGGAGTGCAAGAGTGCACGCGAATTGGGAGTGAAAGAGTGCACGCGAGCTGGGAGTGCAAGAGTGCACGCGAGCTGGGAGTGCAAGAGTGCACGCGAGCTGGGAGTAGATGAGTGCACGCGAGCTGGGAACGAATGAGTGCACGCGAGCTGGGAGTGAATGAGTGCACGCGAGCTGGGAATGAATGAGTGCACGCGAGCTGGGAGTGGATGAGTGCACGCGAGCTGGGAGTGAAGAGTGCACGCGAGCTGGGAGTGGATGAGTGCACGCGAGCTGGGAGTGCAAGAGTGCACGCGAGCTGGGAGTAGATGAGTGCACGCGAGCTGGGAGTGCAAGAGTGCACGCGAGCTGGGAATGAGTGCACGCGAGCTGGGAGTGCAAGAGTGCACGCGAGCTGGGAATGAATGAGTGCACGCGAGCTGGGAATGCAAGAGTGCACGCGAGCTGGGAGTGGATGAGTGCACCCGAGCTGGGAGTGGATGAGTGCACCCGAGCTGGGAGTGGATGAGTGCACCCGAGCAGAGAGTGGATGAGTGCACCCGAGCTGAGAGTGGATGAGTGCACCCGAGCTGGGAGTGGATGAGTGCACGCGAGCTGGGAGTGGGTGAGTGCACGCGACATGGGAGTGGACGAGTGCACGCGAGCTGGGAGTGGGTGAGTGCACCCGAGCTGGGAGTGGACGAGTGCACCCGAGCTGGGAGTGGACGAGTGCACCCGAGCTGGGAGTGGACGAGTGCACCCGAGCTGGGAGTGGACGAGTGCACCCGAGCTGGGAGTGGACGAGTGCACCCGAGCTGGGGGTGGACGAGTGCACCCGAGCTGGGAGTGGACGAGTGCACCCGAGCTGGGAGTGGACGAGTGCACGCGAGCTGGGAGTGGATGAGTGCACGCGAGCTGGGAGTGGACGAGTGCACGCGAGCTGAGAGTGGATGAGTGCACGCGAGCTGGGAGTGAATGAGTGCACGCGAGCTGAGAGTGGATGAGTGTACCCGAGCTGGGAGTGGACGAGTGCACCCGACGTGGGAGTG